ACATCTCAGCAGTTGGAAATGCCCCCAAGAAATGGAAGAGCTCGGTTGTTGCATGCCTTTAACCAGGGGAACTCAGACCCTTAGTAGAGTGAGACCAGGGACCAGCCTTCTACTATGAAGGTGAAGCAAAGCAGAGGAAACGCGGGGACAGGATTTTTCTGGCCCATTCTGTGTCCCTGTTAGTCTGAGAGGAGTCATGACCTGGAAGGACCCGTCAGTCTCAGACAACTCTGAAATGCTCCCGGGATGCTGAGCTCACATAGACGTCGCCGCTCGGACAGACAAACCCACGCAGAGCTCCCAGGAAAATATCCATGACAAATCCAAGGGAGACAAACTAGCAGCAGCAAGAGGCTGATTTATGAGAATGGATTAAGGGAGCAACAGCTTCTTAGTGGAAGGAAAGGAGATGGAGGAGATGCACAGATGCTGGGAGATGACACGACAGGGAATTCAGCCGGGTGACTCCCAGGGATGCCGGGAGGTACATGGGATGCAGGGGAAAACCAGCCTCAGGCTGGCACAGGTATTGGGAACTGGCTGGACCAACATAGCTGAAAAACTCCTTATGGGAGCATCCCTAAGAGGACTGCAGGGAGCTGAGGCAACCAACTTAGAAATCAAGGATTTCTGTCCCTGATTTTACTTATTTGAATACAAAGATCCTGCCCCCATCGGCTGCCAGCTCCCCTCTCCACAGTCAGCTTTGCTTCTTGCTCTTTGCCCACTCCAGGGCTTGGAGGATGGCAGGACACACTCCCTGCTGCCCTCTAAGCTCTCCAGACGTTGTTGTTCTCCTGCTTGTTCTCAGATCAGGTCTCCCATTCCTTTATCTTTTAGACATTTTGAAAAAATCTGAGGTTGGAAGAAATTGCTGGAGGTTCGTAGTCCAAACTCTTGCAGAAAGCAGAGCTAGGTCAGGCTGCTCGAGGCCTTTTCTACTCAAGTTATGAAACTCCCTATGCTATTAAGGGAGTCCCAGGACCAGCTCTGATAGAGGCTTCTGCATGGCAGGTGCTAGAGGTGGATAACAGCACTCCTTGAAGAAGTAACAAATAGAAAGGAGAGCGATAATAAGTGACACGGGGAAGCACAAAGATTGACATGGCCACAGAGACGATAACAAAGACCAGGGCTCTTTGGCCATTGAACCACGGGCCATTCAAGGAGCCGCTCAGGAACAGCCCTGAAGAGGGTCAGCCTGAGCTTTGCGACAGATCCAAAGGGTGAAACATGATTAGTGTATTAGGAGGTAGGTGCGTGACTGCAAATGTTATTGTGGGCTATCAGAAGGGGCTTCTAGGGTTGTGCAAGACATGCTGACCTGCCAAGGGGAACAGCAGCAGCCACAGCTGCCGGAGGGGATGGAAGGACCTCAGAGCTCCGAGACCAGCACCCAGGAAGGAGGAACTGCCGTGTTCCCAGCCCATGGGATTCGGCAGTTTTTGTAGCATCCTTAACAAGGAGATGCCCAAGGGTCACCATGGCCCTGTTAAATGGAGCACAGGGCCAAACCACTACTGCCAAGGAGGGTTCCTTATGCTTCTTGCTTTACCACAGCTTAAATATGGGGAAGGAGGGACTGCTCCAATCTAACGCCTTCCACCTGGGCATCAAGCAGCCCTGCAGAGGCAGCCGGCTCAACTCCCTCTGCATTCAACACCCAGCAACCAGCATCTCCCAAGGGAGATTTGTTTATCTCTGTCCTTCCTCTGACTGTAAAGAGACCCAACAGAAATGCCAGGGAGCAAAAAAACTGCAATTAGATGAGTCATGTCCAAGCCTGCAATGAAGAACAGAAGAAGAGCAACAACACTAAGGGGAAAGTCTTTAGTGCAGTCTCCCCGGCTCTGCACAGGAGAGTTACGTTCCATGCAAGAGCCATAGCTCCAGGTGGAGCAGAAGAATCATTTGGAGTCAAAACAGGGAGCTAGGATGGTGAAGAATAGATAATGATAGCCCTAAGGGACTAGGTGTCACCAGGGGAAGGTGATACAGCAAAAGGTCACCTGTGTAAATCTTTGGGGTCTAGTTTAGGATCCTGCTAGGAGCAATGGGACAGATCAGCCACCCCGGCCCATCTTAGGTGGGTTCAAAGCAGGAGGAGATGCTCTTTCTCCCCTGATAGCGGGTGCCCACATGAATACACAGACAACACACCAAAGTCTAATGCTAGGATGAGCACTGGAAGGCTCCTGAGCCAACCCAACATGAGCAGCAGGTATTTTAATGGGTACCTTGGTCCTCAGCCAGAACACCCAATGTTCTCCCAGGCATCCTTCCCCAAGCAAAGCCACGGAAGGGACCAGATGCCCCCACTCACACAAGAAGGGAAAACCTTTACCTGTAGCTCCAGGACCTTGATGCGGTGGCGGTGGTTCCTCAGCTCCTCCTGCAGCTCCGAGATCAGCTCTCGCAGCTCGAGGATCTGCTGCTTGCGCTCCTCGTTCTCGTGGAGCCAGTAGGAGACCTCATCGGTGCAGCGAAACATGTCCGGGCACCGCTGCTCGTCCAGCTGTGGCAACGTCGCTACGATCTTACACCGGCCATCAGGCAGTACCTGGTTGCTGTACTCGCCGCACTGGATGAGGCCGGTGCCCTCCTGGAGCCCCTCGTCGTAGCTGTAGCTTTCGGCTGCAGCCAGAGGCTTCTGCAGCGAGGGGCTGTTCAGGAAGGCTGTGAGGAACAGGGACACCAAGGCCAGGCGGGCACAGACGGTGCAAGGACAGGCATCCATGCGGCAGGAGAAGATGGTCCCCAAGGACAACCCTGTGCATCTCATCCTCAAAGGCGGCCCTTTGGAAAGACCCATGTCAGTAGTACTGGCTGTCACCCAAGAGCTACTCGTTGCAGCCACAGCCAGCACGTAGCACAAGGAGGAAAGCTCTATATGGGAGGGAGACATCAATATGGACCCTGGAGCTCTTGCCAAGAGGGTCACGGCAGGCAAGCGACCTGCCTGCCCCCATAAAGCTTCCTCCCTGCTCCTACTCCGTGACCACCAAGCTGGAACCAGCTCCAGAAGGAGAGTCCCCGCTGGCCAAGGAGCTTCTGATCCCGTTGGAGGGCACCGAGGGCTGCCAGGGCTTCAGGCAGGGCTTTCTGCCCATGCAGGACTGCAGGCAGCCCTGGACAGGGCTGGCTGGTGCCGTCAGCACCGGGAGGCATCCGCAAGGGCAGGCAGCATCATGCCCTGTCCGCAGGCGGCTTCATGGGATGAGCCCTTCCTCCTTAAGCCTGGAAACAGAGGGAAAAGAGAAATGGGCTCCTTGTCCACATCCATCTATTGAAGCAGCTGGGATAGGCAGCTGTTCTATCACTGAACTAGGAACCAGAGCTGTGGTTAGAGGAACCACGGTTTGGTGTAGACGAGGGATGAGCAATCAACTCACCCCTCAAAGGTCCTGCACGCTGTCTCGTGCACTGCCCTCTTATCTTCACCCCACCACAAATGAAAAAGTGCCCCCCATTTCCCTGCCCCAAGCATCCCGCTGCTCCCTTGGGCAAGGAGGAGAAGGGACCACCACAACAAGCCACAAAACTCCCCTTCCACCCTGCTCACCCACAACCAAGCCCACACGCTCAAGCTTCAGGTTTTCGTTCACCATCGGCTAGATTCCTGCTTGGGAAATGCTTCTTCAGCCTGTGCTTGCAAGGAGAGAGCAAAGAGGCAATCTGAGGATTCCAGACTCTGTCTCCTGCACGTGAAGTTTTCTTGGAAGATGCAGCTGTAAATGGAGTTGCCGGGTGAATGGTGCCCATCTACATGGGGACACATCCTGACAGGCCGGGCATGGGAAACCTAAACCAAACTATCCCAAGCAGGGGATGGCCCAAGACAGGGCATCACCGGTGCAATTTGGATGAGCCCCAGTCAGGAGGGGAGATCTTTTGCCTGCCCGTGGGTCCAAGTGGATTTAGGTCCGAGTGGGGATGGTGGGGAAGGAGCATGCAGGAGTGAGGGCTGGAGAAGACCCCAGACACCTAATGCAATCTCCCAACTGCAGCCTCCCATGATCTCCCCATGAGCTGCGTGTCCCTGGCAGCAGCGCTGAGCTCCCAAGCGACCCTCAGCCCCACATTTGGCTCCAGTATTTGCTGTGTGGTACCCCCAGATTCCCCTTCCTTGCAGTGTCATGGTTCTCCTTGCCATGAGAGCTGCATACCCAACAGCCGGGCTCAGCACCGCGCCATCACAGGGGTCCCTTGCAGAGGTTCGGCCCCACGTACCTCCAAAAAAACTGGCCACACGCTCCCGGTCAGGCTGGTCCCAGCGGAGCGAGGAGACGGCAGCGAGCTCGGAGCGGCCATGGGAAGCAGAGTGTGTTTCAGGGAACACTAAGTGCTTATTCCCCCTGATCCTATCATGGCACTATAAATAGGGCCAAGAGAGCCGCAAGTCTCGGGCAGTTTGTGGAAGGAGGAGTCCAGGTCCCAGCGTGACCTTCTTAGCGCGCGGGAGATTAAGGCGGCATCTTGGCATGACTTCTCCTCTCCGAGAAGATCCCCTGGCACATCCTAAGGCCACAATGCAATAATTCATTCATTGGGGTGCCAGTGGGGAGACCCCCCACCCTTCCCAGCACCTCGGATGGGTCTTGGTTGGGAGGGGAGAGTTTCCCAGCCCAGACATGGCCAGTGTGCCCAGGAGTCTGGGGAGGGAACGACCATAATTTGCCTAATTCACTAGCCCAGAGCTTGCTCTTCTCCTCTACAGTGGATGCTAGAGTAGAAGAGGGTTTCCTGAGCAGTGCCCCTATCCCACTTCCCATGCTTTCTCCCCAAATTATGCATGAGGCAGCAGCGTGCCCTCGTTGCCAAGAAGGCCAATGGGATCCTGGGGTGGAGCGGCAGGGATGCACGCAGACACCTTTCAGAGGCATGCAGTATGTGCATTAAACAATTCTCTATCTGCCCTACGAGGGAGCTGGGCCTGTTCAGCCTGGAGAAGAGAAGGCTGAGAGGGGACCTGAGCAGTGTCTAGAAGTACCTCAAGGGAGGGAGTGAGGAGGATGGTGCTGGTCTCTTTTCAGTGGTGGCCACCGACAGAACTAGAGGAAACGGCCGGAAACTGAAGCATCAAAAGTTCCACAGGAACTTAAAGAAAAATTTCTTGCCAGTGAGGGTGCCAGAGCACTGGAACAGGCTGCCCAGAGAGGTTGTGGAGTCTCCTTCTCTGGAGATCTTCAAACCCGCTTGGACGCAGTCCTGTGCCACGTGCTCTAGGTGACCCTGCGTGTGCAGGGGGTTGGACTAGATGATCTCTAGAGGTCCCTTCCAACCCTAAGCATTCTATGATTCTATGATTCTATGATTCGGCATGCAGCAGTGCCGGGAGCATGGATGTATTCCCAAACATATCTCTGGGGGGTAGTGAGTAATTTTGATCTTTCTTCCTCTCATGCTGTCCGTTTCTTGGGAGCATGAAGAGTAATTATCTATCTGGCTATAAATGTTAGCAGGCTTGTTTAATTAAATATGCTCATCATTGCACTGTAGGAATGTGAGCTGAAACAAGGGATTTCCGGATTGGACAAAAGAGCCCATTTGGGTGTTTTTTTTCACTTTATGAAAAGTTTCCAGACAAAGACCTTGGATTGACACTCAAAATGAAGATGGACATTCAGACAAGCTCAGATGGTCCCCAGAAGATGGGGAACTGCCTGGAGAAGGGTAGATTCATTAAAAAGACTTCTGCTCCAGCAGGTTGGAGAGGTCCAAATTGCGCAGGACACAGATTGACTAGTCCATCAGCAGATATCCCAAGGCCAAGTGACCAGCCATTGGGGGACCTGCCATTCTCCAGAGGATACTTCCAGCCCTGCAGCCAACGCTGCCGAGCCACAGAGGCTGGGAAAATGAGCTGAAAAAGACCAGAAAAATATCAATGAGAGAAAGGGGGTTCCTGAAAGGGAGGTGGAGCTGAACTTAGACTCCTGGGCAACATGGTCTTATCATAGAGAGCAAGGGAAGCGCGGAGGGAGGCAGCAAAGCAAATAAACCTCTACCACTGGGCCTGGAGAGCAGGTCATCTGTGTTCTCCATCCCCATTTCTCCTGTTTGGTTGCTCATGGGTTGGGTACCCAAGGGCCAACCTGAGTTTAGCGCATTGGCTTCGCTGCTGCTCACGCAGCACTGCAGACATGGGGACACCTGTGACCCCTGCTGTCATGGCCATGAAGATGTCTTAGCGCTGGCACTCAACCTCCTTGGCCTTGTATCATCCATTGCATCAGTGAACTCCATGCAGCTACCAAGGAGAGCTCCCTCTGACCCAGCATAGCTGTTTCTGCTCCAGGTTCATGAGAGAGCATCTCCATAATCAGATATGATGATGATAGACACCATCATGGGGACAGGAACTGCACCCCATGGCTGGCCACCCGTCGTGGTGGGGAGTCATAGGGAGAAGAGGGCCAAGGGACATGTCTCATCCTCCAATACCAGCCAAGAGCTACTCCAGCATGACGAGCTAAAGGCCCTTATTGCGTACGAGTGGATAGGCATTTAACGTTCTTGTCTACAATGAAATCCATTATCCTCATCGCTCGCTGAGGCCCTGCCGCTCTGGTTTCCTTTTCAGGGCCGGAGGTGGCGGGGGAGAAGAGGTGGAGGAGGGATGGAGCTGGAGACAGCCAGGTCCTTTGTGTGGCCACTCAGGAGGCACTTTCTCGATTAATGTTTGGGCTCCTAAATGGATGCGACCTCCCTTCCCCCAGCCCCTTTCCCTTTCATTTCTCGTCCCCATTATGCTCAGAAAACCTCGTCCGTATCATTAGCGTCAGAAGCAGAGACGGGCACTGAGTGCCACGGGGAAGCGGCGAACGTACATTTCGTTCAATGTGCCCTCGAGTGCCTCAAGGCTGCTCCTTCACAAAGCGAGATGTGAAAATGGGCCCCGGGGCGGCAGCGCCATCGGGGAGGCCGGCCGCGCGGGGCCGATTCAGACGGCAGCGTCACCCCTCAAAGGTTAAAAACCGCCGCGTCTCCCAGGGAGCCACATCTGAGCCATCCGGCGAAGAGTGGGCAGAGAAGGGAAGGGGGATGCGTCCAATGAGAGCACTGGGGCTCAGCGTCTCCCAAGGGATGACGGATGCAATGGACCCCGGGTTGAGAGCCCCTTCTCCTTCGCCAAGTCCAGGGTGGGCTGGAGGTCCCGTCCTGTCCTCCTCATGATGCAGCGAGTCCTCCGGGCTCTCTTCTTGCAATGCCCCTGGTGCCCTTCCAGTTCGGCCCTTGCCCGGGTGTCCTCCCAGGCTGTGGGGTGACATCCCCAGGCTCCCCGCTGGGGCAGCACAGGACACCCATTCCCCACATGTGTCTTCCACTCTCCCCATTGCATGGAGCGTTCTCCACTTGCCTCCCCTACATGGAGCCTCCTCCCAGGCTGGACACATTGCCTCTCACCGAGCAATCCAGGACTAGTTAAAAACAACACCCAGAATCCCAAGAACTCCTTGGCCAACACCCAGAGTCCCAAGAACTCCTTGGCCAGCTCCTTCCAAGGATGCAGGCTGTGCCATCCTGCTGATGTCCCAGTGCCCAAGCGCGTAGCCGCTGCGCAGCAAGCATCTCCCCAGCTTGCCTTGAGGAAGAGCGCCACAAAGCATCATAGTCATCCTCCGTTGGGAACCCACCTTCTGTTTTGCCCCTATGTAGAGGCAAAACCAGCCCTGATGCATTTTTGCAGGCTCCATGGTCCTCAGTCAGCATCACTCCTAATTTTCCTGTATATCAAACACGGGTCATGTCTGCCCGTTTCACAGCTTGGACATATGCTCAGTGTGCAAACAACCCACCAGCTCTCATCTGGGTCATTCTTTGAGGGAGAACAGCTAAAAAGCACAGTATTTCTGCATTCTTAATTCCTACCCATTTGGTATTTGCCCAAAGGAACAAAGAGACCACCCAAGTATCCCCAGATAATTTACCCTCTGATTTAGCATCCCCTGATGCTGCCTTAGCCTCCTGGAGGAAAGGAGAAGTTGATCCAAATCTACACACCCTACGCCTGCCATTTTAGGATTTCGGTGACCCTAATTAGCTGCTGCCATTAATCAGTTTTAAAAGACCTACATGTTTCACAATAAAAATAACCAGCAGCAAAAGATAGTTCAGAGGCTTCTCAAGACCACCAGGGAAACCCTTAAATCAGAGTAAATGTTAATGCTCCTCCATGGCCACCACGCGGGGATTGATGGGCAGGCAGCAGGATTCCCGCCTGCCCGTTGCAACGCTCCACAAATATCAGGGAAAGTCAGAGGCTTCTCCGTAGGGAGGCATGGGCAGATCGGGGCACCTCAAGGTTCCCAAGCCTCAGCTTCTCCATCAGCCTCCAGGTCCTGAGTGCAAACACTCCATGCCTGATCGGAACCACTCCAGGGATGCTGGGTTGATCCATGCTCCGTGCCTGGAATGTGTTAGGCCTCAGTGCATCAGTTTGGAGCATCCAGCTGGAGCCAGGGCGCTGCTTGCTCTCAGGAAGGGGAAGGAGGAGATGTTGGAAGAGCAGGTCTCGGAGAGCCTGCAGGGATGTGGCTCTGCCCAAGCGCTTTGCTAAGCTCCTTCGCCTTTAATCCCCCACCACCCCGGGGCACATCTCAGTGGGCTGAGCGAGGCCGTTCACTGGCCTGTGTCTCTCTGCAGCCTCCCAAACCCCCTGGACCTGCCATTCCTGTGAATTTCTGCTCCCCACCTTCGTGGTGCAAATTGAGGAGAGCAGGAAAAGAGGGGGTGTCCTGGCCATGCCGGGCTGCTTCCTGTCCACCCGGTGCAATGGGCCCCAGGGCTCTCCTAGCATGTTGCATCCATCCCCCGTGTCCTCGGATCTGCGGCCAGGTGGGTACGACAGCGGGTACCACCTCTCCATTGTCCCCATGCTGTCCCCTCGCCTATGGCAGTGTCACGGCACTGCTTTCTTAACGCTGGTGCAGAGGAGCATGGTGGCACCCAGCCAAGACCCAAGGGCACATCCGAATATCCCCAAGGCCGGGATCAGGAAAAGCCTTGCAGCCTCCTGTGCTGCCCAGCAAGAGGCTTGGAGCGGGCCGGCATGGCCTGTCCCTGCTGAGCTAAGCCGTGTCCCCTGCGGCATTAAAATCCCCGTGGTCATCAGCTTTGCTGTCAAGCTTGGCACCAGCTTCCACCAGCTGCATCGGGCAACTTCCCAGCGCTCATTCCCACATTCCGGATAGCACCATGCAGGACGGCCTTGGGGAAGGGGCTGGGTGCAGCCCTCCCTCGTCCTAAATGCACAAAGAGCTCCGGGTTGCAGGAGCCCATCCGAAGGCAAGCGCCTCCTCCGAGAGGCTCTAATCCCTCTTAGGGCACGGGCAGTAATCGGGGATTTGGCTCGGGGGGTGTGAGCACGTGTTGCGGGCGGCCCTTGCTCAAGGGTAGCGCCACGCGCGCGTGCGACCGTGCTCATCCATACACACATATCTGCAATGCAGCCCATCAGCTGGAGGAAAAGGAAAAGGAAAATTGTATGAAAGAGGAAATAAAATGTTAAATAGGACCAGGGACAGCCTTGGCCTGTGCTCAGCTCTGCCCAGGGATGGGCTGCACATTCCCCTTGGGTGCATCTGTGCGCGGATGGAGGGGATGATCTGATCTCAGACTTCTTTACAGCCTCCATCACATATAGACAATAGTTACCTCCCCTTTTACCGTCTCCTCCTCCCACTAGACAACCTCAGCTCCCCTTTGCAATTCATGTGTTCTGGCTCTATGACCATCTTGGTGGACATGATCCAGTACACCAGTGTCTTTCTTGGGGTGCCAAAGGGGTGCATTTTTTAGATCCTCTGCTCTTCCAAGAAAAAAATAATCCTTTATATTTCCTCCTCCAGGCACACTTAATAACGGGTGTATAAATAGCAGTGGCAGGGAGGAGATCTGGAGTTTCTGTTTTTTCACCATAGGAAAAATGGAACGGGACACAGAGCGAGTTGCTCGCCCCGGTGAAGGAGATGCCTTGATTGTAGCATCCTGCAGAGGGAAGGTTG